GTGCCTAGGGAAGGTGGGGGGGATGGGGAGGAATCACCTAAAAATCTTAGTGATTAGAATTATAGGGGCAAAGTTGTTGACGCAGAAATCGAGTGAGGGATTCTCAGGAGGAAGCAAACGTAACTAAATTGCAGTGTGTTTAGGAAATTACCCAATGTCAAGACACTGGAAGACTTTGGATTATGTTTTATTAGCTTTCCAATATTAACTGCAGCCAGCTTGCTTGCTGGTGCATAGTGAATATTGCTGCTGGAGGGAAATCCTTGGGCTCAGGGAGGAGTCTGGGGGGTTCAGTCAGGATAGCGTTTTGGCCCGTGTGCTGATACTCACAGCTTGTTCCTGGGAGATTCTGAGTGCTCAGATTCTACAGGACTGAATCAGCCCTCCTTGAAACCCGATGTATGCGATATGTCAGGCCTTCCGTGGGGAAGGAGCATGCTGTGGGGCGGTACAATTGATCCAGAGGCCAGACTAACAGGAGCACAGGAAGGTGGCAGCAGCTAAGCAGAAAAGGGAGTGTGTGGTTTTACCCACTTCAACATCCAGTTAGCTTGACTAAAGGGGCGTCCCGTAGCTGTGCTTCAGCTGTGCTTTTAGAACAGCCCATGTTCTGGTGGTGCCTGGGACCAACACCATAGATGATAAAAAGAAACATCAATGACTAGCCACTAGTTACTTTTTTTGCACTTGAACTTAAATGTACTGTACTCACATAAATCCTCATGACTTGTCTAAGTGTCCTTTAAAATCAGAAATGTATTTATTGTATGTTTGTATGACTTGGGGGAGAACTAAAAACTGAACAGGTGACAGGACAGAAGGATGCTAAAAATCATCTTGAGGCAAACCAACCATTTGTTGAGTTCATGCTGCTACTGCATAGCACCTGGATTGCGAGGTGAAGAGCTTGTACACTGTGTTTACACTTCAGAACTGTGTATTTGAAATGCCTGCTCTTTTTGGAAATGTATAGTCATTCTGTGTTGCAAAATGGACATGTACACCTGGGTTTTGATATTTGTGAAACTGTAAAAACTGTGGTCAGAAATATAAAGTATCCATAATGTACTTAATAGTATCAATCTGAACTTTTATTACATTTGCTCATGTTACAGTGCCAGCAGTGAACAAATCACCTGAACCGAAGATGATTCAATGATGATGACCTTTGGCTAGGTTCGCTGTAGGATAGTGCCTGGAGGATAGCAAACCTAGAGCCTGGGAACTACTCCTGCAGTCTGTTTCATAATAAAACCTGACCGTAGGCACAAATTCCCTTCTGAGGGGAATGTAAGGGATGCACACCCACGTGCATCATTAACAGGCTGATAGGGAAGTGTGCAGGACATGATGAGTGAAAGTCAAGCTCAGGTTACATTTGTCACCTAGCGGTTTTGAGATAGAGGCTGCTGAGCGCAGGTCATGTCAGCTTGTGTAGAAATACTGCCAGTTTCTATTTCTGATCAACAAAATATATTTCACTCTTGCTCCTGCCCTACACAGTGGCATGTTTGTCTGGAATTTATTTTTATCCTAGGTGTAGGACAGTTGATTTTTACTATTTCAGCTGCTTAACTTGTATGCATACTAAAGCGATGACAGGGAGTGATCTTAAGTTTTGTTTTGTTGTATGCGTGTATGTAACTGCCAGACCTCACTCGTCACCTTACCAGTTTGGTTTTGTGGTGGTTCGGATCCGTCATGAGCAGGGCATGGGAATGGCAGCTTCCTTCAGGGACATCCATTCGAGGTAGAGGGGAGACTCTGGTTTTGGAACAACCACGGCTAATGCACAGTTACCGTTTCTTGCATCAGCAACTCGGGCCACAAACACACCCCATTTGCTTGGCTCCTCCTTTCATGTGTCCTGCTGTTCTGAAGACAGTAAATACATACGGGAGGAGAACCACATAACTGAAAAATACTTTTATTTTAAAAAGTCTTGAAGGTACAAGACAGTGTATCAAGTATGCTGCAGTGTGAATACAAAATAAATACGAAATCCTAGCTTTTTTTTAAACACTGTGAAACAGAAGGTAAATGTAACATCCTTCGTTAAGGCAGAAAGACTTTTATAATGGTTAAAGCAATGGACTAACATCTAGATTCTGCTCCCAGATTTTCTGGCTGAACACTGGACAGTACTTAACAATTGTGTTTCAGTGAACCTAAGTAATGTCCATGTATCACTTGTGCAAGTAGACTCACTGTTGGCAGAGGGCTGGAATGACAGCAGTTGGTTTTGGCGGGTTTTGTTTATGAAATGCTTCCAGTGTTGGAACAGGCTTAGGAGGATTTTTAAGGTCAGTATCAGCTCTCCACTGAAGTAGTCGTCATCATTTTCATATGTTGCTGCACTTCTGTCTTGGATATACTCAGCAGTTTCCTGCTCTCCTTTGGATACTACTTACCCATCCCCGGCAAATGACAGACTTCACAACTACATAAAACATGAGTTGATTTTTAAATTTTTTGTTTCCCTTGTTGGAGTAGGTGTACCTGCTGTTCTAAATAATTTGGGAAAAGGGACAGTGTCTGGAAAACGTAATTGCCTATTTTGGGGAGGCTTTTCCATTTAACATATTGCTTAGGTAAAATATTATCTTAATGCATTATCTGGGCTATCGTATAAAAATACATAGTATGTACTTGTGGAAGGACAATCATCACTACCTCAGTAAAGAGAGGAAATCCAGAAAAACTGTGGGTTTAAGCGAGGACAAATCTGATTCTCCCTCTTGGCCTCAAATCACATAGATGGGAGTTCTTAACTAACTACAAAGCACTGAAAAAACCTGTGTACTTGAAAACATGCAAAAACCATTAGCATTAAGGCATCTCTTCAAGTATCCTTTTTTGACTAATCTAACCTGAAGTACTTCCTTTTCACGATGGCGATACAGGCAAAGGTAAAACAAATGTTCAGTCTACTAAGGTCATTGTTGGGGAGGAGTTTCCATCCTTCTCCCAAACCATCGAAGACAATGAGCCTTTCCTCTGCTTTCACATGTAACGCTTCCAGCGTCTTGCTAGAGATGGAACTCCCCAACCCATGCCTGACTTCCAGGGAGTCGGTGGCAATTTAACGGTGAGTTTGGTGGCAGCAGCCTCTGTTCGAGGTGAGTCTCGCTGCTTGCGGCCTTCCTGAGCAGCACGCTCTTGCTCCATTTTTGAACATTGTGGACTTTGAGCAGTGAGTGCATTTTGGATCACCTGCTTGACAGGGCATCTCTCTGCTAAACATGCTATAGATTCTGCATGTGTATTTATAGATTTACAGCACAAAAGGCTGTGAAGTGTCTCTCTACTCTAAAATGGAAGAGTTCCTTGTCAAATGAAGCATATTTGAAGCAATATAAAGGAGGAAGGACCACGTAATTAAGGCTTTCGAGCACCAGCTTGGAGTCCTGTTTTATACTGAGAAGCTCTTGGAATGTGGTACAGCAGCAGCACTTTTTAGCACTGTTAGAGCTAACAGATGTTCTCCCTTGTCCAACGATGGACAATGAGAAACCACGATAGTGCATGCACTGCTGACGTCGTGCTGCATCACTAAGCACGTTACAAAGAAAAGATACCCCTTTTAAAGCAAATACATCCTGGTCTGACGTGCCCCTCTGGAGAGCTAACTACTTCCCACCACTGGCAATTCCTGGTGGATTTGTAAGATCAGATGGTGACAGAATTAATGGTCTTTTCTGCAGTTTGGAAGACAGTAAAAGAAAACAGCAAGGCGAGGACAGAAGAATATAGCGATAGTTTAAAGAACAAAAGAAGGAAATTACCTCTGCAGGTGGATGATCTGAGGGGAAATGATCTACTCCCTAGCCTAGGCTTGTGTACTACATAAGGTGAAAGACATCTGACTGTCTAAATTCCTGTTTTCTTTTCTTCCCCACATGCCTCCTGCAATAGGTCCCAAAGAGGGCGGACAAAGGGGAGTTAGGAGCCAGGTATCCCTCCCTCCTTGTTTTCCCAGGAGTTACTTTCTGTTTTTTATTGAATGAGCAAACTACGGAGTACTCTGAGGACAGTGGAGCTGTATGGGGTTATCTGTATTTCAATTACACGGTTACAGCATCACTCTGGCTCTGCTGACAGTTCCTCCGAGCAGCTGAAACAGCCTCACCCTTTTCTGGAATGAACAGCAGCACCTGTCCGAGGTAAGGTGACAGTGAAATCAAAAGTGATAGTAAAAATACATTTGAGGATGGAAATCCGCTCCTAAATCATCTGCAGTTGCCACAGATGGAGAAGCAGAGGGCTGAAGAAAGGGTCAGCAGCGGGACCTGTAGAAGAGGGAAGACAAGTGTGTGAAGAAACAAAGACATGGAAAGAACGAAGTGCAGCGTAGCTAGAGCAGAGACCAAGAACAGGAAAACACAAGCAGAGGGTGAAAAGTCAGGCTACGAGGTGCTTGAAACAAATGTGGAGAGGCAAAATGAAGCAAACCTAGCCAGAAGAGCAAACAAACCTCATTCAACTGTGTTAACTCTCTATTGATCGTAAGCACCAAGAAGTCTCACAAACAATAAAAATAGTTTATCAGCACACTAACAGCATTATTCAAATTGTTGACACTTAGGGTACTTAGTAAAAGTAGAGTATTAATAATGGCTTGTCCTCCCTCTAGTGCTCAGCACAGAGGACTTGACAATGAAAAGGGCCAAAACAGATTCTCTGTTTTCTAGAGGTAGTATCCTTGGAAAAACAAGGCATCCTGGTGGAACAGGCTGCTGCCAGTACTTGCTTTGGAAATAAGCAAGTTAAACTTTAACCGGTTAAAGTACCAATAGTGTGAGAGTCCTCTTCACTGGAACAGCCCTATGGTTTCCTTCTGTTGCTCTGATCAGGCATCATCAGTGATACAGGAAACAGTTTTTTAAAAAATCCTTGTTTGTCCACCAGCAACCACAAGAAATCACCAAGCGTGAGTCTCTATCCTTCCTTTCTAGGATGAATATGTTTTCCCTCTCCTTTTTTTCGTTGTTTCCCAAAGCTCAGAGCAACTCAGTAGCATATGGAAATGAAATCTGTTGATGCATTTCATCTTCATCCTCCACATCTCCTTCATGGACGGAATTGGCTGGATCACCTTGCTCAGATTCTGCCCTCATCTCAAAGAGCTGCTCTTCCAGGAAGAAGCTTCCAATGCCGTATTCCTCCTCATGTGCCTTTATTTCTGCACGTGAGACGTGGGGAGATCCGAGAACAAAACCTGCAAACCTGCCAGATTTTTAAAAGGAGAAGTAATCAGCTGAGAAATGAAAAAAATACTGTAAATGCAGGGGATAGTGCCAATTGTGAAGGGATGTTGTAAGGACGTGCCCACAGGCAGCACAGATGAGGGGAAGCTGCAGCATGAGCTAGGGAGTCCTGAAAAAACGAGTAAATCGCAATGGATGGCAACAACCCTGAAGATTTGGTTTCCTGCCTCATCTTTTCAGTCTTCTCCATGTAAGTAACTTTTGCTCTTCTGGAGGCCATCTGCAAGGTCTTGTGATTAGGCAAGAAGATCTAATTCCATGTTCCTATCTTGTCATTACTTTTGGGATAATCCAGAGTAAGCATTCGCACAGCTGGACAGGTGGTACTGCAGCCTCTAAAAATACACTAAAGCTGTAGCGTATTTGAGACAAAGGCTGTAAGAATTCAGATAAGTTGGCGTTGCTAATGAAAGGAAAAACGGTGAGAACTTCACATTCCTACAGTGCTGTGCCATCACCTTGCTTCTGGTGCCACATGCACACTCTGGGCAGGCTGAACTAAAGTCTTGCCAAAGAATTCCTGCTTTTGCTGAACCTGGAGCTGCAGGCTGGGAATTCTGCAGCTGCTCCAAGTAAGTGCCAAACTGGAGGTGTGGCAGAAGAAAGCATGAGCTTTGCACTGTCCCTACATTTCAATTCGCCACAAATCTTACTTTCAGTGGACATATGCTGAAGAGACAGAAAGGAGCTGGAGGTTTCTGGCAAGCCTGTGGAAACAGACGCCAGTTCTGACACCTGGGTACATGTCGACAGCGTCAGCGAAATGTAAGAAAAAGGAAACGCAGCTACATTCTGGAGTTCTGGTAAACTGATCAATAATTTACATTTTAGACTTAACATTTCTGAGAGATGAATGTTGTTGACGCACTCTTCTTGGAAGCCCTGTTAGTCTAAATGGGGAACAGCATGGACTGGCTGTGTTTTACAGGTTTGCCTTGTGTTGAACTATCTTCTGATGCTTAATGGAAGCTTGAAGGGGTACTCAGCTTTCAATCAGACTTCTGTTGGTTCTCCTTTTTATTTTTGTATTTTTATAGCGAACAGTTTGTAAGAACTATATTAACCTAAGTGATGGGCAGAAAATACATGTGTCTCAACTGTTTGTGCATTTTGGCAGTATTTTGTTTTACAATACTGCAGGGAGTTTTCACTTTTTGTATCTTTCAATCATGCTATAGAACGTAAGTAGCTGAGAAAACAAGACGGTTGAACAGTACACGTATAAAACCGGGCAGAAAGGCTGTCTGTGTGCCCGTCCAGGGAAGATGAAGGTTCTGAAACTACTTTTAACTTTCTATTGATTAAATGCCAAACTGACTGGGGCTTCTTTGAAATTGCGACACTTGGTTCTGTGGCAAGGGCCAAGTCTTTGTGGCTGGCTAATGTCAAAACTCTGCTTCTGCTATTTTGAAGTTCTGGTTTTGATGGAAACACACTGCTATTATGATTAATTTTATATTCTGCAAGTTTTTCTGGCTGCACTTATCTGACCCTTCCCAACCCTCATTTGCCTTAAGTTTGTCTCTTAAGCTGTATCTGCTCTTCAGTCTGTTACACTTCCTAGGTGCAGGCACTGATTTTTTTTTCACTGTATTGGTTCATACTTCAAGTAATAGGATTTCTTGGCTGTTCAGGCTTGCAGCTGGAGAGCTTAATGCAGGTAATATTTGAGCACGTATCTTCAGCCTGCTCCAATTTTACACAACACAAGTGTACTGCTCTTAAACACTGAAGAAAGGGGCATTTCACTGGTTTGACAGCCACCTGGGTTACTGTGTAGGAGCTTACAGAGGCATTGTAGGAAGCGTGTAAGTTTTAAGGAAAGCCGCCATTATCATGAATTAGCTGTGAACGCCTGTAAACTCTGAGTAATTTATGGTCAAGGAGGAACAAACAGGGGGGTTGATACCACCAGCAAGTAATATCCTTGAGAGGCGTCGCTGTGATCTTTAGTGGGACTACTCAAGAAGATAAAGCTACTTGCACGTCTGACTGCATGCAAGATAAATGCACCTGAACAGTGCCTGAAGCAGCATTTGGGTCTGCTGTGTCACAGCCTCTGTTTCCTCGTTTAGGGAAACCAGATTTTCTTACCTGTGTGGGGACTGGAGTTTGTATACAGCTAACCATGACGGGAAGCCAGGGTTCCTGCAGAATGAGCGTAGCTCCTCCAGAGCTCTGATAGTTTCTGTTTCACCTTGTTCTCGATACTCCTCTTCCGTGAGGTATTTAAACACTAACTTTTTTGATTTAAAGTGATTCTTCATTTTTCTAGAATGGAATGAAAACAATTAGTATTTCCTAAGTCTTCAGGCACATAATTTTTGCCTGTCCTTTTTCTCCACCTGCTAGTAACATCACTTTTGTCTTTTTAAGAGGACAAGCGACGTTCTTGCATTAAAATTTTAAGACAAAGTGTCGAATGTTTGCTATCCTGTTTACCCTAGGTCCTAACCGAAGTTGTGGAACTCCACAGAATGGTATCTAATGAGCTTCAAATAAGCTTTGGATCAGGTCCTTACTCTGTATGCATGGACGAAAATCTCACAGAATTAAATAGATGGCTGCTTGCTCAGCCGTTTTTAGGTGCAATATGCAAAATGCTTCTGTGCAGAGACATCGGCTGAATCAAAACCCACTCTGCATATGTAACTTTGAAGATAAGCAACGCTCTAAGTCTGTTATGAGCTGTTCATGTTGTTTACTAGATCGCTTCTCCTAAATCTTGCTTTAAATTACAAAACTGAGTAGTTTGAGGCCAAAATGTTTACAATCTGATGTTTTTTTAGCTGCTGCGTAGCGAGGTATAATATAATTAGATATCAATTAGAAAGCGTGCCATGTTCTGTTCCCTTCTGTCAACTGCTTTCAATTTAAATGTTGTGATGAGTTGAGATAAGCAAGGGCTGCATGCCCATAAAACTTTCAGCTCTGTATAAAAACACCTGCTCCAACCAGCAGCGTTCAACTTTCCTCCTTATTTCCCTAAAGCAAGAATGAACTGTAGCCCTTGTTCAGGGCAAATGGTAAAGGTCTTTCTGGCTCACTGGGATCAGTACTGATCTTAACAACAAATAATGGAAGATTCTTCGTTATTTTGCTATACCTGCTGCTCTGAACTGTGTATCTGGCATCATGGCGTCACAGTTCAGTGTTACTGCTTAGTGTTTTGAAACAGAAGAAAAATCCCTCATCATTCTCCTAAGAGAGATTTGTAGGAGCTGTATTTTGGTGCTTTTTGGCTCTATAGACACATCAGTTCATGAAAAACAAAAGAGGTCCACTGGAAGAACAAACTACAGTGTTCCAGGGTAAAACAGGTATGTTCTGACTTCTGTGAACTCGCAGCCAAATCTTACTGGTTTCAGAGTGAGCTGAACCTGCTTACAGCAGGTAAGTGTTGGTCATGTATGTTGCTTTTGAAACAGCTGGTGCTTCTCAGCTGCAGGCAAAAATCAGTCTTCAACAAATGGCAAGTTCTACCTAAAATAAAAAGCTTCAACCCAGTCCACACTTCAACATCTAAAATGAGCGGAAGAGCAAAGTGGTATGTTCTTCAAAACTAAACAATGTGTAAAAGACCAAAAAACAAATTATTTTGGTTTTATTCTTTCGGTTGTGCTGGGTTGTAGCCTTTGCCTCTTCCTGATTCTCTGCAGTTCAGCAGAAGTCCACAGCTATGGAACAGGCTGCACTAAAGACTCTTAATCTGGATGCCATCACTGATGGTAAAAACAGATGTAAACTGGCAGGACTTCTTACCATCTTCATTTGAGTGTTGTATTTGTGATAAAACATGCTTCGAATTCAAGGATGAGCAAACACGTTCCCATGTTGCTGATGAAAATACTTAACAAACTAAGGTCTACGTATTGCCAGCAGTTCCCATTCCAAATGCCACACTATAAATGGGGCTCTGGGGATACAGGGCAATGCTTCCACAGTGATAACAGATTGTTTTCATGAATTAAAGGTACACGTGTACATCTAGGATAGTAACCTTGGAAAACTCCAATCAATGGAAGCTATTATTTTTGTGGACATGGGTTTTTAGCCTCTGAACTCTACGCTGTCTAGCCTACAAGGACTGTCACTTTTTAAGATCTGCTTCCTTGGTGATAGTACACTCTTTTATCCCGTAAGATTCAGTATGAGTTACCTGCAGATTCTCTCACTACACATGAAACCAAGGCAGTATTGCTGCTGTCTAATCAATGAACCAAACAGAAATGTTTTGGTTACCATATGCTGCAGACTAGAAGGTGCTACGTCACATTTTTCCATTCTCCTTAGAACAAAACTCATGCTTAAAACTGTCAAATGGAAAATAGCTGAATTCCTGTGTCTCTGGGCTTTAAACCTTTTCCACTGCAGCTTTATATGCTGTAAAAATACCAACTAGTACTAGAAATTCATAAATCATTACTGAAGTGTAAGGGTTTTTTTTACTATCAGCCTCCAGTATTTCCTGGTGATGCAGGGACTTGGACATTGATTCTGCCCCTCTACTCTGCTCTCGTGAGACCCCACCTGGAATACTGCGTTCAGCTCTGGAGTCCCCAGCACAAGAAGGACATGGAGGTGCTGGAGCGGTTCCAGAGGAGGGCCACGAAGATGATCTGAGGGCTGGAACACCTCTGCTATGAAGACAGGCTGAGAGAGTTGGGGCTGTTCAGCCTGAAGAAGAGAAGGCTCCGGGGTGATCTTATAGCAGCTTTCCAGTACCTAAAGGGGGCCTACAGGAAAGCTGGAGAGGAACTTTTTACGAGGGCGTGTAGTGATAGGACAAGGGGTGATGGCTTTAAACTGAAAGAGGGGAGATTTAGATTAGATATAAGGAAGAAATGTCTCACTCTGAGGGTGGTGAGGCACTGGAACAGGTTGCCCAGAGAAGTTGTGGATGCCCCATCCCTGGAAGAGTTCAAGGCCAGGCTGGATGAGGCTTTGGGCAACCTGGTGTAGTGGAGGGTGTCCCTGCCCATGGCAGGGGGGTTGGAACTAGATGATCTTTGAGGTCCCTTCCAACCCTAACCATTCTATGATTCTATGAAATCCATACAAACCTGCCTATGTGACAAGCAGCACCGAGGGGGTAACCCAGGCCTTTTGAACAGAGGCTGACCGCTATTACTGCGTATGCAACTTGAGGTATGGTGACACCACAATAAATCAGGACAAAGGCTGTTAATTGTAGCGTCCATGCGAACAAGGTTATGCTCAGTTCAGTGGTAAGCGGTCCGTGCTGGTAGCAAGCGGCGAAGCTGGCAATTCCAACAGCCAGAAAATACCCTGTAGAAACAGAAAAGAAGGACATGGAGAAAGAGGTGCAAACTACCCATATAAACTTCATTAGTTTAGTTCACAAAGCTTGCAACTTCTGTGAAACAGCCTGCTGTTCCTTGTGTTGTCTTACAGCCACCTGCATTATGTTGTATGTGCTTTATGCTTCAAAAGTGTGCAAAGCATTCACAAGGTGATCTGTGAATAGCCTTTAAGCTAAAGCTACGAGCTGCACATCAATCCTCCCATACAAGAATGTTGAGGCAGGTGCCAAGTCAACAGATTTGTCAGCCCCTGCAGCCACATCCAGTTAGCAATTCACACACCCAGTTCCCAGATCCAGCAAAATACAAACGAATGTAGCTGCCCTTTTTCTGTTACAGGAAGAGTATGTAATGGCAAATCAATGAACAAATAATACAGGCAAAATCTGCTCTTAAAGCTGCTACTGGCCCACTATATCAAACTCCTTATTTAATGATACAATGTGAGTAAACGCTCATTTGAGTGGATTAGGAACCTCTGGAATATTCCAACAGCTATGGCTTAGGAGACAAAAGTACTCCATAAATATGTCAGTTGATTTTGGTTTTTATGGGCAGGTATCTAACGACTAAATTAAACCAAAGTCTGCAGCAAGTTTTTTGATAATTTTCTTACCCAACAAGTAGTTTCTGTGTTCAGACCACAACCACTGCATGTTTTCCTTGAAGCAGTAAACAAAATAGAGAGAGGACATCCAGCAGCCGCTCATTAAGATCCAGAAGGTACTGTGCTGGAAATAAAGAAAAAAAAGAAAAAATAAAATTTCAAGTCAGAATCAGGACCATTGGGCGCAAGAGAACTCACAGGCAAAACCAGATGTGATGTTCAGTAGACCTACAGGGCTTCTGATTTGTGTGAGGCTTCCATTGTACAGTGCTCTGCATGCTGCCACTAAACAGTATCACTTCGAAGTGGAGCAACTGCATCTCTGTACTTGTGTGTCATGTGCCAGTGTCATGGTATAAGCCTCTTGCACTGTATTCCCAATTAACATATCTCAGCAATATTGTGGGAATGCACAGACTTTGTAGAAGCAAAGGGAAAATTCACATCTGCCTTGTAATGAATTGTCTCTGGTGAACGAGGAGAATCTGCCCCAGTTGCCACTAAAACTACATTTTGATTTAGATTGATTCATAGATTCAAAAGTAAGCTTAGCTCCAGTCCAATAAAAGTAATTTATGTTTCAGAATAAACTCTTCTTGTACATCAACAATCTCCTGTTTAGTTTAAACTCGAAAGCAAGCTAACAAGAACTTGATTGTGACCTAATTATATTTACTTGACACAGGCAATCCTGCAGTCATTTCAGTGCAGTTACCTGGCCACAAAACCAGAGCAAGGTGAGAATCTGGCTCTGTACTCTTCACTTCCTATATTACGATGTTGATGATGATGATGATTATTATTTTGTTTTATAAATGCAGATTTACCCTTGGAATAAACCTTTTAAGTGTCAACAGGATAAAGACTAGCAGAGCAAGAACACCCAGTGTTATTCCAGAAAGGTAAAAGAACTTGGTACTCCTGTAAGAGAACAAGAGAGAACACATTGAGAAGGGTAATTCGTAATTGGTTAAGATGCTAACATTTATAAAAACAGCAGTGATCTTCAATAAGAACTTAACAGCTGGAAGTTACAGTTGTAGTTACATGGTTAACAGGCCCGGTTTAGGTGTTAAGTCCATGCAAGGAAAACTTCCCAACAGATACTTTAAGGTCACTAGAGTTGTTACAGGCTAGGAGATCGTGCTGGGTTTTTTAAAGCTCACACCATTTCTTATTTCATTGACTTTCTAGTTTCTAGTAATTTTATTTTCTTCTGTGTACCGATATGGTTCTGTACTGCATGAAAAGTACTGGGTTTTTAATTTAGAGTGTAAAAAAACCTCTATAAACCCTAAAGTTTTTTTCTAAGCTGTCTTGGTTAGGACGTAAGTTTATGCATTTATAAAGTCTGACTTTTTAATTCAGAGTTAACTCCATAAAACCTATTGCTGCTCTGCTTGTTTTAGAGGCGCCTCCTGACAATTAATTTGTGACTCATTTTGCTTTGAAGTCATGGGCCACATATTTTGCTATAATAATTAAGTATCCTCCCCTACATGCTATGCAACACGTGCATCAAAAGAAGGATGGGGAAAGGTTGGCACAAAGGTGGAGGCAGATGAGGACCCAGATGACCTCATCCTAAACATTTCTGCCTGCAGGAATGAAGCGTTGATAACACACAGAGCATTATTTACCATTCAGCTAACCTCACTGCCCAACAAAAGGGAGAGAGAATTCTTCTCAATCCACACTTGCTCGCTGAGGATTGTCTTGGTGTTGCCCAGTGCAGGCAACTTGGATATAAGAACCCAACACAGCTAAGTGACTAATAGAGTGCAGAACTCCAAGATATGTCACAATCTGTCCAAACACAAACGGTATGAAGAAGTTTTAAATATACGTTCAGTTTCTGTGTTTCACTTTGCCAAAGAGCCGCCTCTTTAGCTTAGAAAACAGACCAAAGACGCAAAGGCTTTGGGAAAGGTCAAAAACCAGCAGCTAGTACTCACCTGCTCAGGCTGTTTGCAAAATGGAACAGAAGAATGCCAGCTACAAACAAAACCAAGAGCTTTCCATCTAGCACTAAAAAAAAGGGGGAAAGAAAAAGAAATGGACTTCAGACCACTTCAGTCTGAAATGTTGATTACATACAACATGAACAGAAAAGCCCCAAGCCTCTTAGAGAAGAGATGGTACTTTCAGTAACACTGGCAATACCAAGCCATCTGTAATCTAGACTGAAAGCTTTTTTTACTTACTTTCTCGTTTCACGCTCACGGTGTACGGTTCGGTTTTGAAGGGCTGTATTTTGAAACAAATATCCTCTCCATATTGTTTTACGTTTAGGACAGTTTCTGTAGATGTCTCTGGTTTCCAGAAGATTTGAACAGCACATGCCGCAAACTCAAAAACAGTTTCTGAATTACGACAGTTGCTTTTTTCTGAAATAGGCTCAAACCTGAACGCTTCTCTGCTGTCAACTTTTACCTAAAGACAAACAACATAATACACAGAGAAGTAGCTCAGAGTCACTGGGCTGTTTTTGTTTTTCTGGACTACATAACATATAAGCCATACATGTGATAATGAAAATCAGTATAAAGAGCTCAGGAATAAAATGCTAGTGCAATTCCCAGTTGTTTACTATTGGTTATTAATACTATGCAAAGATTAATTGTTTAGACCTTACAAGGCGATTCAGAGAACTCAAGTGTCAGCAAAGTTCTATGGAAGGGCCTCAATCCATCCTAAAGCTCAGTGGGTCGGTTTTACCATGACACTTGCCCACACACAAATTTCTAACAAAACCAGTAATATTTGACTGATGACGGTTTCTTTAGGGGAGGTTCATATTGCTTCACCATTCCCCTCCTGAACTGCAAGAAACTGGACTTGCTTTTCTTGTAGTTAATAATGCAATCGTCATGTTGGGGACAGAAGAGGGATAAGGAAAATGAAAGACACCATAACCAGAAATGTAAATATAAGCACATTCCTGATGGGTGTTTTGGGGTTTCTTCCTAGTTCCTAGCACCCTCCTCCACCAAACTGGTAAAAGATCTTGTCCACCTTCCGAGATGGGATGATCTTCCTGAAGATACGTGATTCATTGTGTGCTCTTGATCAGGGCCTATTAGACAACAAAGACCCAGCTACAAAAAAGTGATGCAATAAGTAATAAAACAGGCTTCTACTAGAAGAAGAGACAACACGTCAGCAAGCAATTTGCTGTGGGAAAAATCTTCAACTTCCTGCTTTTAAACATTTACTGCAGGAAAGCTGGAGGGTTTCACCACCTTGAAGTCTGCTACCATTCATAGAAACACCTGCAGCATGTTCCTGAGGAAAACAGGCCTGGGAACAAAGACATGTTCCACTTCCTTTTATCTGAGAGAATTCCTCCAACAGAGGTGAAGTGAAACTGTTTCCTTCCCTTGTCCGGAGACATACTTCCCAGGAAAAAAAAAAAAAGGAACCACACAGATAGCTTGTTCCTTCAGCTATTATTGCTTCCACTGTTAATACATTTTAATATTTTTTTGAGCTGATCTCTAAATATGTTTCTTCCAAGATGACCCTCTTACTCAGAAAAACAGAAACACGCTGTTACTGCTGTTTTTCCATTAGTCACAATCTAATACACCTTTGGTGGTTCCCATACAGCGAGTGAGTCACAGAACTCCATTTTATGCTCAAATTTTTAAGTTTTATAAAGGTGTTTGGTGATGAGCAAAAACATTTGTTGCAGAGGTTAACAGTGGTCCATCAGTAGAAAAGGTGTGCAACAAAATAACACGCATGTGTGGCATCATTCTAGAAGCCTGGTTGACATCCTTCTGATAGAGACCAAACCTCACTGCATCCAAAGTGGAGGATCATCATGCTGTATTTTTAACACCGTCCTACCTGTACACCGTCCAAACGACTAATTACACACAGAGACCGCTTTGATCATACGCTTTGCTGGCCAAAGTTCACGTGAAATGTACTGCGTTCTGAATGATCCCCAAAACAGCCTCTTACCTGAAGAGTTGACCAAATGTACTGTAAGTGAATGGTTCTGTTTTGCACGTAGCAGTAACAGTTTTCATCCCGTTTCTGGATGACATCCATTTCCTGCAAAACACTGCAGTTTCTACCTGGGGGCAAGGAGAGGGCAGAAAAGTTAATTTGAAGCATGTATCAAATACAAACGCACAATTTTCCTCCGTATCATTGTTGTATGTGCTGAGGGAATCACAAGCGATTTGCAGACAGTCAAACGTAAAAACTATGCAGCACGTTCAGGATGACTTAGATGAAAATTCTAGACTTCTGATTATAGAAGTTAGACTTCTAATCAAGTAATTTAGGCTCCAGAGTAAACTGCAACACCTTTGGGGAGGGGGAATAATTTAGGGTGATATTTTAAAAAAATGTAATCCATAAAAGCTTGGCTTCGGTATCAGTGTTTTGATGGCACTGGAATAGGGTCTCTGGGCCAAACTCACTGCTGGCATGAGTGGGTGTAACTCCACCGGAGTCGATGCTTATTCCAATGGCGAATGCAACTGTGGGAGTCTGAGCAGGTAAACAGGCTTACATATTAAAATAGTCACTTAGCACATGACATGGCTGCTGATCGCAGAAATCATACTCCTCTCCCTCGGAAATGTTTCTAATGTTAAACGGCAGAACTCTTCTGTTTAAAACAGATTTTCCTGACGTAGTCTGGCCATGACACGTAATAAGGCAACTGCACTGACAGCTCGTCATAAGTCATTTAACTAGGGATGCTCTCCTGCAATGTTAGTGACCCCCTGTGATCCTCTGAATTAGATTGCGCTTTTGAGCAGAAACGCACCTAAAAGGCTTATGGCACAAACTCTCCAGAATAACATACGTTCTGATCTATATATGTGTGTGAAATATACCCTACAGTACATTACCGCAGTGATCCAGGAAAATAATTAAAGAGAAGAATAAAGGAAATAATTACAGATCTGAACAGAGGGAATCATCTGGCTCACTGAATAGAGAATGTAGGTCTAAGCCAAGCTCAGTAATAACTGTTAAAACACTGTCATACGCTGAGAACGGCAAAGTGAGTATGTGCAAAACAGTCTCAATCTGGACAAGGAGATACTGTTTGCAGGTAAAAACCTGCCCTGTCTCTATAAGGAAGCTGAACTCAGGCTAAATTACTTTTTAACCAATTTAATTAAGCCAATGAAAAATACTTGTGTGGATGTTCTTGCATCAGTTTATTAAGTCATTC